GAGATTTTTGCTCTTTGATGGATTCTACTGTTGTGTCAAAGAGCCTGTATTTTTTACAGAATCCAAAAACTCCCAACCTGGTGAAACTTTCTCCAGGTGTCTCACTGTCTGTCATCTTCAAGTTTTGAGTGGCAGTTGTACCCATAGATATATAATCCTAAATGCCTCATTAGTGACTGTTTCTATGGGCCGCGATACGTAAGCCATCCGCCATTTTTGGAACGGTCTGCGAACACTCGAGCACAAGTTGACTCTGTGCGTCTACAACAGCAAGTTATACGCATGTATATCTTTGAATATTCATTGATTATTATGGTGAATGACGGCAAGTTGACCGTTCCAAAATTGTGGACGCGTCAACGTATCTGGAGCGGTCGAATATGGCATCTATACATATCTAATGTTGTACCTATACACTGTGTTGTCTTCTTTTTTATTTCATGAAGGATGGCAACCAACATTAAGGTACCATACTGCCACCTACTGTGTTGGAGTGTCAAGCAGATTATTTACAATATTATCACATAGAATTAACATGATATCAGTATTGAATTTTTTAAATTTTCATTGTTGTTGTCAGTACCGGAATATTGCGGTAACTTTAACACAAACTTTCAAGGATTATTATTCACACAGAATCCTCCTGATATCCATCAAGGTGACTATTACACAAGGACACAAGCTCTTATTACCATATATCTGCATGTTATTTAATTTTTCCAGTAATGACTTCATCCAGTTTCCACCTGGTCCACTGCTGCTTTAATCACATGCCCTTCTTGGCTCGCCGTCATAAGTGCCTGTCGAGTTAAAGGTTTTGTACAGGATCTCAGGATGTCTGCAGACTTCAAGAGCTTTTGGCTCCTCACAGGAGCTGTCAGATAATTTTAAGCAGCAGTCAGGGGCTTCAGGTTGCTTGTCAGAAATGGCAGTAACTTGCTGCTCCAGTAGAGCAGTGTGTCTTGAAGTTTCTGACACGCTCAATAGCCATTTAAGAGGATGGAGCTGAAACCTAATGTGGGAATGATAGGGCGGAGATGGACGGTGTCGCTGTTAGATCAGAAGGTGCGGGGAAATGTGATAGACTAAGGCAATGTGATCATAGCCTTTTACATGTGCTTGGAGTTCTGCATTGATTTGTATGTAACATCAGAGATGGAAATCGTTAAAAGCCACCGAGCGGTCTAAGACAATCAGTATGAAGTCACATGGCTGCGCACAGGCCCAAGAAGGAGAGATCTGATTAGACGAGAGTAAGAAATAAAAAATTGAAGCATAAATAAATAAAAAACATATATTATATACAATAAATATAAATATACAATCTTATTATTAATACATTTTATAATAATAATAATAATTATTATTATTATTATTAAATTTATTTAATTATTTATTTGTTTTGTTATTTTATTTTATGTATTTATCATTTGTTTCAACAATAATAATAATAACATTGTTGTTGTCTTATTATTAATATTTTGTTTTTATTTCTTAATTTAATAATGACAATAAATGTATTATTATTGTTATTTTTATTTATTTGTTTATTTATTTATTTAATACTAGATATTATTTTGATATTTTATTATTATGTATTTATTATTTGTTTCATTATTATTAATAATAATAATAATAATAATGGTAATTTTTCAATAAAATTGTAATAAATAATAATAAAATACTGCTGAAAGTCTCACATTAACCTGCTCCAGGAAATTGCTTTTAAGTCCCCTACTTTAATGCTATTTAATTGCTATTTTAGTTATAGATATTTAGCTTGTTCATATGTTTAATGTATATTCCCTGCACATTCTTGCATTGTCTTTTTTTTTTACGTTTGTACACATGCATGTCTGTTTATACAAGAAGCATCAAAGCTGAAGGTGTATCACATTCCAAAATAGACGCCTCCGGTGCAGACAGCTATATTGATTATAATGGGAGTGATGATTTATGTTTGACCACACTGTTCTGCTCATGTTTGGTGTACACATGGTGTCAAAAACACGCCAGGCATGAGTATATTTTAGAATTATTTATAATTATACAGGGCTTTTTATGACTGACTAGTCATTCAGACAACCCAAATACTAATCAGTTTTATAAATATATAATTTTGCACATCCCTACTTCAAAGGTAGTAATAAAATTTCATTATATAGTGTGATTTCTTCATAATTTCCTTGTTTATATGACTGTTAACCAAACAGGCAATGTATCATCACATGTGAAGTACAGTTCATTAGCTGAAAAGACAAACACATTTTAGCATGCAGGCTGGAGGCACAGGTGCCAGTGTTCAGTGTTGTGCTGTGCTGATTTGGGCCCAATCATATTCATCAAAGCAGAACCATCGTAATCTGCTAAAGCCCCTCCATTAAAACAGCAGCAGCGTGGCACAAATATATGATTTAAAATAAATGCCCAGGAGTTGTTTTACTTCAGGGGGTTTAGCTTTCCTTGCACAATCAATATGAAGTCACATGGCTGCACACAGGCCCAAGAAGGAGAAATAGAGAGAAAGGTGAGAAATAAAAAATTGAAGCATAATAATAATAATTATTATTATTATATTATAATAATAATATTATTATTATAAATATTAAATGATGTTTATTTATTTATTTTGTTC